AAACAACAAGCATCTGATGCCACATCCTAACAGAAATTATACATTTCTCTGGGAGCCCCGTTTAGCAGTACAACCATGCCTTTTTCACATGCAAATTAATTTCACATGTTTAGTAACAACTAAAATAATCCATTTAACTAAAATGAGGACACCTTAGTTATTTGGGTTATGACTGYTTTACATTAAACACATAATTTACTTGCATTACATAAATGTGAACACAATTATTATACATTTGTAACCAGAAGTTCTCCCTCATTCAAGCATGTGCTTTGCTTTATTTTACAGCTTGGCAGTTCTGAGGAAGGTATTAAAAAGTAGAAAAGGAGAGCCTTCAAAGAAATTAACAGTAGTGTCACTATAAACAGTTAAATCTCACTATCATTTATGCAGCAATCCATTCCATAACAAAGTCATTTATTAAGATTCTTAGATCTCATTTCATCATCCCCAAATAAGTTCATTTTAATAGTCCTTAATAGAGATACAAAAAATATGTTCTGGCCGGGCACATTTGCACATGCCTGTGATACTAGTGACTTGAGAGGTTGAGGSAGGAGAACTGCAAGTTCAAGGCCAGCCTCAGCAACTTGGTGAAAAAAAGGCTWGAGATATGGCTCAGTGGTAAAGCCCCAGGGTTAAATTTCCAGTAACTTTAAAAAATAAAAATAAAAAAAAAAAAAGTTCTGCATTCTCTTCTACAAATTGTACAGATACTGTCCTCAGCATACAAACAACAGAGGGCTTCCATCCATCCACATTAGCAATATCAATAATTAGGGACAGAATCTATTAAGCTTTTTAGAGTATGCATATAGAGATGTTTTCCACCTATAATAAGGGTACCTCCTACCATCACCTTGTTGAACACTTTTTTTAATGAATTATGACAAAACAAGCAAAATTATGATTTATATATGGAATAAAAAATAGCATTTACAAATTCTTCAAATTAAAACATGTTCCTTACCTGAAAGTTCTGCCATTTGTCTACTTCAAAAGCAAAATTTATCATAATACATTTTGGAAATTTCAATATATATGTCTGGAGSGTTAATTTTTTTTCCTTTTTGTTTTATTTTTAACACTGAGGTAATTTTATTAATACATAACGCACCAAAACTRCATCAGTTTATAGGTCAAAAAGCTATGGCAGGGGCGGGGTTAAAACACCTCTGCTTGAGCTTTTCCCCAACCCTTGGAAACCATTGCTCACCCACATACCTCTTAACAGTCTTCTAAAGAAACAGCCAGACTTCCGGGAAGAGCYTGGACTCTGACAAACACCCACAAGGAATAGACAATGATCTCCATCACAACTTTTTGCCCTGCCTGGACCCCAATACAAATGCACATACTCTTCAAAGTGGGTTTAATTGCCACTCAATTCAATCCTTCTTTCACCAAGCACAAAAAACAGGCAGTGGAAGACATTGCACAAGGTCACCATCAAACCAGAACACACCTGACATCATCCTTGGTCACAACAGAATTACATCCAAGTATGACGAAAGGAATGCTTGATCAAACATCTTAAATCACCTTTAGCACCAAAGATACAAAAGAGGAGACAATAATATGTACAAGAGAAAGACTTTCTTCTTGCCCACACAAAAGTACACTTCCCTCAAATCTAAGCACATGGCCAATTACTCCTGAAGTCTTTGATTACGCCCCTTACAATCGGTCTCAAGCAATTGTCATGCAGAAAGAACTGATTCTCAAATGTGTATTTGATGAYGTATTTAGAAATTCCTGAATTTACTGTCACAGAGGGAACAAAAGGAGTGGCCTGGACCCATTCATGACAATATAAGACAGGTTCTGAAATAATAGTGAAGACCAAACCAGAAAGAMAATCAGACAAAAACAATTCAAAAAGTAGCTCTTTCTCTCATAACAAAAGCATCACAGTTGGCCTAAATGGTGCTGAGGACAGCACAAAACTCTTTTTAGTTTTTCATAATCTGGCAAAATGTTAATTGAGAAAAAARAGAATTGGACATTAGAGGTGAAAAAGACACCATGAAAGCCCGAATACTCTCCTGCTCTGAGGTCCCCGTGGGAAAGTAGCATTGTGGAGAAGGGACAAACAAAACAAGGTACTCAGCTATGGCCAAAGTAGATGAAGAAAATTCTYTGCCTTAGAAAATCAAACCTATTCCAAGAACCCAAGACAACCCATGTTCAACTAATACCATGTTCAACAAATCTAAATACAACCTAGAAAATGAAATTGTATGGGCACAAAAAGCACTTTCTCAAGGCTCTCTGTACTGACCTCTAATAATGAAAGGATAATGCAGAAAATTATGACTAAATTCTTCAATTTTCCTTTGCTATCATTTGAAATGTCATTTCTTGATCCTAATGTGTCCCCTGTAAAAAAAGAACTTTTCATATTACAAATTCATGGTGATCAGACATGAAATTGGCACCATTAGGAGAATTTTCCCCACAAAAGACATGATTTCAGAGTTCAGTGACCCTATATATGAGAAGGGAAGAATTGCAAAATGCAGCTGCCAGAGATCCTACCTCCCCAGGCTGGGTATCTTCATTTTAAACATACATCCAGAGGGCTCAAAATATGGTGCATTTTTTGAGGAAYTGTATTATGTAGAWGAAGTATAATGTTTTTGTTTTGATGAAAAGCAAAACAGGTGTCAAGATTTTTACTCACAGTAGCTGCCAAAAATAATTGAAAACACTCCAGGATGATTAAACAGAATCAAATTTCAGAGCCATATAAAACAAGCATATAGCATACCACATCACACAATCTCTGGGTTTGAATAATGCATCCAACAATACTGTCAATCTTGGCACTCTGATTTTGAACTGTTAATTTTATTTACATATGTATTTTACAGTTACAATTTAAAATGAATCCTTAACCTAGGAAATCATTGAAAAAATTGAAATTACTTTCACATAAGTATTTCAGAATAAAACRCCAATTTAAAAGCTACTTCAGCCTTTTGTACATTGTACTCTGGCATTTTTKATATAGAAACTGATTTCCATCAGCATGATATAAAATTGTCCAAAAAAGTATATCACTTATTAATGGTTAAAACCATTTTTTCCCTCCGGTTAAAGMGCTTTGTTGTTGTTCTTCATTTTGTTTTTCTTTGTTTATTTTTGTAGTACTAGAGATGGAACACAAGGGCACTCCACCACTGAGGTACATCCCTGACCCATTTTTTTACTTTGAGACAGTCTCAGGCTGGCCTGAAAATTGCAATCCACCTGCCTCAGCCTCCTAAGCAGCTGGGATTACAGATGTGCACTGCTGCTGAACTATTTTTATATAAGAAATAACAAAAGRGAAAGGAGAAGGCAAAAAGGAGGGAAGAAGCGGGAAAGAAGAGGAGAGGGAGAGGAAAGAAAAGAGAAGTCAGAGGGAGAAGAGGAGGATAATGAAGGAAAGAGCAATACGACATCAGTTCACCTCTTTCAAACATGATGGTTGGGAAAGGGCAACTGTATAAATTYATCAAAAATCCCTGTAATCACTGTAAGCTTTAGAACAGAACCACAACAAAGTTGACTATAATTTAAGTCTCTAGATGGTACTCTTCATGTGGCTCACAGAAACATTGGAGAGTTACCCTATCACTGACTAAATGAAAAGCCTCAAAAGGAGAAAAGGCACCGAAAAAAGAAAAACAGTATCCATCATACATATGCAAACAGTTCTGCAGTTTTTGACACAGTGTCCGGGCCCACAATAGCTGTAATGGGACAAATTCCTCTATGGCAGGTGCTAGTGAATCAAATATTCCTGAATTTATGTAATATCTCTATCTGAAATCTTTTGTTTTCTTTGAGATTTCAGGAAAGCATGTAAGATTTCTGCAGACTCTGAGCAGGCATGTTGCTAATTGTTAGAAACACAGGAGTGAGCAAGATCCAATAGCTGGGCTCACCTACTCACAGACCAGTGAACAAATGGATGAAGAGAGGATGAAAATAGAGGGATGGTGATTAGAAAGTGTCCTGGAAGGAATCAGAATGAGCATCCTGAGGATTTTGCCATCTTTCCACCTCCTTACATAACCTAGCTGGTGTAACATCCCATGCTATGACAGTGATGTTTCATGAGGAAGCACATCTATCAGGCAGCAACCTCAATACAGCTGTCATAATACAACTGTTTATGTGGCCGTGAGCCCTTCTGCAATCTCAGTTCAWGTCAAACATGAAAGATGATATGGCTAAAGAACCCTACAAGCCTGCCCAAGTCTCATCACCTCATTACAAAAAAAAAGAATTTGCTGACTTCTATATGCAGAGCCAGACATCCTGAACAAATTATTAAAACCTTGAGAGTTGTCATTCCTCCTTCTCACTCCTTCCAAGAGTACAGGAAGGGGGAAAAAAGTGAGGGAGGAGGCATGCGAGTTAGTGCTAAGGAGCAATGGGCATCTAAATTCATGATACCAAAATAGAATACATGAAGATAGTGTTCTAGTACAGAGAAAAACCTGAGCAATGATGGAAAAAGGGGCAGCTTTCTAAGAGCCATCACACCACAAGGGAGGGTGCCCAAGATGTGCTTGCTCAGGCTAGCTATTGGGATGGACCATCTCTGGGCCAACACTGGGACAGAAGTCTAAGGTTTTGTATATCCTGCACTGAAACACAGTCATAATGATAAGCACAAGTTGACAAGGAAGGGGTACTGAGGTTAATGTCTGATAGATGTACTAGCACAGCAACCTTTTTGATAATATTTCAATTTTAAAAGTTGTATTTTATAAATTCCAAACTGAAGTCCTGGATATTGAGAAAATCATTACATCCTGGCATTCACGGTAGTGAAGATTGTGGAAGATAATTACATAGCAAAATATACTAGAGTGGATGAGACAAATGATATTTAAACCAAAAAAAAAATGTATTTAAAACAGAAAGGAAAGTGCTCTCAACTACCCACACTCTCCCCAGTCCCCAAACAATACATTCTGAGCAGATTTCCCTGGACTTGAACTCACTCTGTCTTTATCATCTGCTACATCACAGAGGATGTCATCCAGGTCTAGAATTCCTCCATCTCCATGTTCCAAGCGATGCACCTGTATCCAGTAGCTTGGATCCTAGACAAAAGAACATAAATATTGAAGTAACAAGTTAGCAAAACCAAAAGGGAATTCAACAATTTAAACTGTGATAACTGCCTGCCCACTAAAGGAAGCCAACTATATCAACAAAACTGTAACTGAATAAAAATTAAGGTAGCTCCCTATGTTTCATATTGAGTTAATTTTTCTTTTATTTTATTATAGTCACTCATGCATTCTTTTCCTCTTGGCTCAGATGTTGATTTACTACATAAATGGCAAAAAAAAATAAAAATAAAAAAACAGCAAAATTTGCTGCATAGGAAATATTGCTTCTCTAAAGTAGATTAGGTTTCCCATTTTCCAGTATATGCATTACTTATTAATCCACTCAATGCAACCTACAAAACTATATAATAACCAGCAGCATATATTATTTGTCTGAAAAACTCTCATATTTGCTAATCTGCATAAAATAGTTCACACATCCTGGTGCCTCAAAGTTCCCCTTACAAACTGGTCTGAAGATACTGAGGAGAGGAGCTGTGAACAAAGCAGTCTCAGAACAATGCATGGTTGGAGACTATGTTGATAAAGGTAAAATTATACACACATGTATATGTGCAGGTTAAAATACTTAACACACCCACCCCAAAATGTGCAGTGGTTATCACTAAGAAGTAGGATTTGGCAAAAAGGAACATTTTAAATTTTATAAACTCCTACATGGTAAATATTTTTAAAACCATAACGCTCTTCTTTTCAAATTATTTGAGGAAGAAACATAGTTGGCTTTAAACTTCCACAACCATTCTTATTTATGTACTCAACTGGAAATACACTAACTTGTGTTCTGCCACTAGCTACTGCTTTCCTGGCAACATAGGATTGCTATCAAAAAGTTCTATCAACACTGTTTTGTTTTGTTTTTCCAAATCTAAGAAGGCAAATTTGTTACAGCTCTTTCTTGAAGAAAAAGTGGGAAAAAGATAAAACATTAATGATAGTCAAAATATAGATTCCTCCCAGATCTATGGATTAAGACCCTCCAGGGGTAATGCCACTAAATTCAGATTCTTAAGATCCTCTTCTAGTGAACCTCTCATGAAGGTGTGCCTAAGAACCACTAAAATGGAACACTTCTTACTTTTAAAATGCAGAATTACCAATCCTTGTCACTTTTTAACCAGCACAGCAAACAGCTCAAATGTAATACCATAAAAAGTACTATGCAAATAACCTTCAGTTACTACACCCTCACTTATCTGGACCCCTATAAAAGGAATCAATCATCCACAACACCAAGAGTAACACACACACACACACACACACACACACACACACACACACACAGAGTCATCCTCTTCATCTGTGGGGCTTCTTTAATCGCACGTGTATTCCCTGATTTCAATATCACACAGAAAGTCCTTAGGAACCCACTACTATTCTTGCTCCAGAATTCATCATTTCTGTATTTGTTGAACTGGGGGAGGGGGAGGAGGAGAGAGGGGAGTAGAGGAGAGGAAGGAGGAGGAGGAGGAGAAGAAGCCCCAAAACAAACTATATTCCTAGTTCCTAGTTTTCCACACCAAATGGTATTAACTTTCCAAAGGGAAAACTGGAAGTAACTAATATCCTGGGAGTGAACAAGGAAATGGTGTCTCTTAGCCATCATTCCCTGGCCATTCTGAACAGGTCTCCCTACATCCCACCAAGCAAGCTTTTTTGGGCACTAACTAACTTGAATATCAATTTTCATTTCTATAAGTAAGAAAACTGTTTTTTTAGCTTCCTAAACCACCTTACTCTCCATCTGAAATTATTACCTGCAGGCTTTCTATAATGTTTGTAGCTACCCCTTCAATATAAATTCCCACCTAAAGAGTTTCTCAGTCCCACAACTTCATCCTTCAGAACCTGCTGCACTCCAGCATCTCCCCTTTCACAGGCTGCATTAAGCCCTGCGGGTCTGTGATCTCTACACAGTGCCCAGGACCTCCAATGTCTGGGTCCTACCTGATCCTCCAGGCTGGCCCACAAGTCTCAACCACCCAGTCTCCTCAGGCATCCTATTCTCCAAGAGCTGTTCCTGACTATCCCACTCCTTAGACAGACTAGAAGTTTAGCTCCAGCCCACTATTAATGTTTCCAAAAATCTTAACAGTCTGCAAAACAGTTGTCAGATGTCAACTTTAAACCTTTAAAAGCTCTTTAATGCTTTATTTTTATGCATGCTAAAATAACAGCAGAAAATTTCTGCTGAAACTCTTGTTACTATACCAGTTCTCTGATTCTCTTGACTGCAACATGTGTTAAAGAACTGTCTATCCTTGTCTCAGATTTATCCGCTCCCCAAATCCCATTTAATCAGGCTTCCTGCCCACCACACTCACACAACTATCCAAGTCACCAATAGTCTCCACATTGCTAAATTGCAATGAACCTTTCTCAATCCTGATTATACTTTATAAGCAGAAWTTAATATCAGAGATTATCTCCTACTCTTTGAAATGCCCTATAAATTTGGTTTATAATGCTCCCACTAGCTGATCAAGGCTTTTTAATTTTGAGATTTAACTGTTGACTCCTGCCCCTGGAGGGGTCCTGATTCAACAGCCAGCTAGGCCAGATGACACTGACAGCATCACACCAAGCTCTCTCAGGCTGATGCTAACTAAATGCCACTCCATAAATACACACTCAAGGAAAGTGACTTTTTGCTGAGAGGGAATGAGGAGAGCATCAGTAATCCTAACAAATCATACTACATTAAGAAAAGCAGATGTGAGCGGGCTATACAAAAATGATTTCCTCCTACCAGAGTATAAAAACCAGGAAGGAYATTTTTGCCACTGAAAAATAACTCCCTGGAAAGTTTTAATCTCTTGGGAGATTTTAAGTGGCAGCTTTCATCAACACATTTCTCTTCAATAAACAGAGGACTTGCAGCATATTCAAGGAAACAGTCAAGCACCCACGTGGAGAAAAACTGAATTTTATCTATTTATTCTACTTTGCTGCAGTTTACATTAAAAAKTTTGAAGAGTAATAATAAAAATCAGGCCAGACGTGGTGGTGTGTGCTTGTAATTCYAGCAGCTGGAGAGGCTGARACAGAAGAATCACAGGTTCAAAACCAGCCTCAGCAGAAGCAAAGTGCTAAACAACTCAGTGAGACCCTGTCTCTAAATAAAATAAAAAATAAGATTGGAGATGTGGCTCAGTGGTTGAGTGTCCCTGAGTTCAATGCCTGATACCAATTTAAAAAAAAAAAAAAAAGTAAAAACTCATTGGTGTCCTGTCTACAGAAAATTAGAAATGTGATTGAACAAAAAATGATACAGCACTTTATATACTACTAAAAACACTAACTATACAGGTCACTTGATTAAAAAAAATAAAGAAATGTGACATAACTGTGGATTTAAAAAAATTAAAAACAACCCAGTATCTTGGTTATGACATGTTCATTTAAATAATGAAAGATTTAGACTCTAACAATAAAGCAGGGAGAGGTAGCACAGGAAGCAGTCCCAGSGACTCAAGAGGCTCTGGCAGGATTGCTTGAGCCCAGAACTCCAGGGGTGATCCTGGATACACAGAAAGACCCAATCTCAGTGAGGCACATTTGACCCAAAGATGGGTGGAAGCCTGGAGAAGTCTGGAGATCAAGCCATATGAAGAATTACTGCTTCTTATCCGGATAAARAACATAGCCAAGATCTGGCCTAGTCCTTGAGAAACAGGGGTGTGAGGGAATACCTCTAAGTCTCAGCTAGAATATAAGCAGAGGTAACTTTTAAAAAATGCAAGCTCCAAGAAATATAGATGCTTATTCTATTCTGGTACATGGTAAGAGAAGACAACACAGGCAAAACCCTAACGAAAGACTGATTCCTATTCGGCCTTCCAGAAATCTCTCAAATTCTATTAAGAGCATCATCAGGGGTGGGGTTATAGCTCAGTGGTAAAGCACTTGCCTGGCATGTGTGAGGCACTGGATTCTATTATGGATTTTATTTATCCATAAAAATGGATAAATAAAAATAAAGGTATTGTGTCCATCTACAAGTAAAAAAAAAAAATTTTAAAGAGCATCATCCTGTTATACAGCAAGTTAATGAGCTTTGTGAGCTATGACTGGTAAAAGAAATAGCTCCTTCGCATCTAATGCTTGAAAACATTTCAAGAGAAATATTCTCCTCACTTTACTGCCTCTTCTCCTTCAAAAGCTTTGCTCTCCATCATAGATTTTGAAGATGGGACTTTTGAAACAGTAAGTTTCTTCTATCTTCCTTCAAAGTTGGCCTTGAATAAAACATATTCTCCTATCAATTTTATTTCAAATATTTCTGGAGCAACAAGTATTGTAGACTATCATGCACCTCCCCACCTCCCAAACAGTACTGGTTCCAGCCAGTAAAAGTTGTCAGAAATAAACAGTTATCAGATAAAACATAAACAAGTAGATCATGATCTGTCACAAGAAAAACAGACCCACAGATRCTTCATAACCTCCAAGGGGGAAAGGGTTAGAAAAGACTTGTGAGGGGTGTTTCTGCAGCAGAACTGAATTCTGACAKACGAGGAGGTTGAAGGAAGGCGAACCTAAGACATTCTGAGGAGGATGAAGAGCAAAACCAGGCCTGGAGGAGAGGCAGAGTTTATCAGAAAACTGAGGACACAGAAACCAGCTAAGAGACAAAAATGAAGRGTGAAAACATCACATCATATAGTGCACAGTTATTCTGATTTCCTCCCAATCACCCACTGAAACTACAAGGGGAGGAGGTTGTTGCGTGTTATTTTTCAAGTCATAATCCTACGAAGACAAAGAGAACAAAAGAAAACAAGCACAACAGTTTTTGGAAGCCAGGAAGCAAGCAGGTAGCCCAGTGGTAACATCCTTAGCAGAAGTGACAAAGTGAATCTGAACATGGTTCTGGGAAAAACAAGGAGGTAATATGACCTCCTCCCCCGCCGATTTTCTATGAACTGAAATTGGGAGAACCAAATGCACCAGAACACAGCAAAGAAGACAGGAG